AAAAGCTGACTTGCCGGGGAATTGGTAGAAGAGTTTCAAAATCTAGACTACTGTATTTTTCCGTGTATAAGACTATACTTTTTCTTAAAAATATTTACCTAAAAATGGAGGGGCGTCTTATATACAGGGGGCCGAGAGGAGAACCGCGGTTGCGAAACTGCCGATACCTCTGCAAACTAGCCTCACGAGTGAAACTTCCGATTGCAGAGACAAGCTAACAGGTTTCTTCCAATCATGAGCCTTATGTACCCGACGTCAGCTGATGCTGCGGGGAGCGTGTAGCCAGTGCCAAGATGCACCAGGGAGCAGTAATGTCGGAGCATTCTGAGCCCATAAAAATGTCAGAAAACAAAAAAAAGATACAGGTAAGCGGCTGTCTTACTCAGCAAAATTTAAACTGGATGTAATCAATTATGCAAAAGAGCATGGAAAATATTGATTTCTGAATTTTGGGTAAGAAAAGTGGGGGGCGTCCTATACATGGGGGTGTCTTTAGAGACAGAAAAATACGGTAATATAGGCAATTTGGAAAGTGAGCTAAATGGCAGAATGCATGGCAGACCTCAGACCAGCACCAATTGCAACAGGCCTCCAACCAGAATCAATAAATGACAAATTGGGCAGTTAGAATGACGCATACACAACAACATCTCCGGGATCAACCATCACACAGAGTCTGATCCCCGTGGGACGTCACCCACACAACACATTAATGGGCAGCTCCTGGAGGGTACTACCAGGGGCAGATGTGGAGGGTCTCAGTAGGACAGATAAGGATGGTCTCACCAGGGGCAAATGTGGAGTGTTTCAGCAGGGGCAAATAAGGAAGGTCTCACCAGGGGCAGATAAGGAGGGTCTTATCAGGGGCAAATAAGGAGGGTCTTATCAGAGGCATATGTGGAGGGTCTTAACAGGGGTAGATGCGGAGGGTCTCAGCAGGGCAAATGAGGAGGGTCTCACCAGGGGCAGATGTGGAGGTCTTAATAGGGGCAGATGCAGAGGGTCTAAGCAGGGATAGATGCGAGCACCATTCCTCCAGTCGGGGGGGGGGGGGGCCGGGACTGGATCTCAGTGGTGCCCCCCAGCCTTGGGCCCTTGTGCAGCCGCACCAGTAGTAGGTCTGCCCTCAGACTGTACAACCACCACACCAAGCGTGACACCACCATCTCCATGCTCTTTTCGGCTGTGTTGCTGCCAAACTAGTAGATGCTGCTGTGTTAAAGCGTCGACAGAAGTTTCTGGTGGGCCTGGAAGTTTCTGGTTCCCCCCAAACACTGCCATCGCCGCATTAACACAGTCGCATCTCCTAGTTTGGCAACTGTGTGGCTGAAAAGAGCATGGAGATGGTGCACACAGCCGCCTCTCCTTCCATGTGGGCTAGAAAGGGCAGCGGGGGCGGTGACATGAAAAATACCTGTTGATCTGCCAGAAATCCCGTGCTTCCATGCTTCCATAGGCGGCTCTCGACTTTGTGAGGCCTTAGGCAAAAATGAAACTTACACCCACAATTTAAAAAATGCAAACGGTAATTAAAAATAAACTGTGATCATCAGTGATGGTAGAGTGTGGCAGACGTCCAGTGGAGGGTCCCAGGGCATGTGCAAGGATTTTTGCCTACACTGGTTCCCCAATCCTTCCACACCCGGCACTCTCAGGTGGCTGCTTATGCAGCCTTATGCTAGTGCCAGCCCTGGACCCATGTCACACAGGAGGTGAGCTGATTAGTGTTGTCACCCGAGCACTCTAGTAAACAATCCCGTGTGATAGCAATTGGAGGTGACAGGTTCTCTTTTTTGGCCCCTGCACTGTGCTGGAACTCCTGTGACAGGTGAGAGGGGAAGAGCACAGCTCTCCCCTCTCACTGTATACAAGGAGCGGCAGGGTTACTTTTAACCCTGCCGCTCTGCTCACTGCATCTGCGGCCAGTGAGGAGACAGACTCAGCGGCGGAGCCCGGAGGATGGAGCCATGGAGGAGAGGGGTAAGTGTAGGGGGCAGGGGAGGGAGGCTGCAGACTTTTTACATGTGATCTCGGCGGCATTGCCGAGATCACTTGTAAACGAACAATCGGCTTCCCTCACTCTACATTTAGTCCTACTTGTGCAAAACAGGACTAAATGTAGAGAGGGTAACTTAACGCCCGGCGCCCGCAACTTCCTGACAAGGACACCGCTCCCGCCCCTCTGCGCCCCGCCGCCCCGAGGCCGGGCCTCGGTGGCCTTGTGGGGAATCCGGCCATGGAAAGAGGAGAGACAGCCAGGAGAGAGAGTGAGGAGAGACAGGCAAGAGAGAGAGAAACAGCCAGGAAAGAGAGCGAGGAGAGGCAGCCGCCAATAGAGAGTGAGGAAAGAAAATATATCGCATAATATCTCACATAAGTGTCATCTCTGCAGGTCAACTCCCAGTTTATCATCACCTCTATTGGGTCAGCTCACAGCTCACAGATGATGCTGATTCATGATCCGATGAGAAATATTTTCTAACATTCTAAACTCAATTGAAATCAGAATACATTGCAAAGAAATCCAGAGATGATGAGTGGGGTAGTCTGAGGTCAGGAAGGTGAAAAGTGAATGGATTGTCCTCTATCTGAACTCCAGTGAAATTAATTCCCTCCAACAGCCTCCACTAGTCCGTTTATTATTTTTAATTATGAATAATAATTTAAAAAATGCATTTGAATAAATACAGAAGCAGCTAGGATCTGCTGTAATTTGTAGCTCTGTATATATATCTATAGGGCTGCCGTGTTCTGTAGCGCTAAACAAAAACACAGTAGAACTATAGAAATATGAACATTGCTACAGACCATAGTGGCGATATAGTAATATGTACATTGCTACAGATTATAGTGATGATATAAGAATATGTACATTGCTGCAGAACCCAGAGGTGCTATAGTTCAATAAAACAGCAGTGCTATAGATATGGGTACAACGTTACAGAGCATGCTGGCACTATAGATATGTTACCGTATATACTCGAGTACTACAAAAAATGTGCTGAAAAACTCGGCTTATACTCGAGTATATACGGTACATAGAAAACGCTGCAGAACAAGATGATGCCATTTCTCGATCAACCTACTGCAGCGCTACAAAAATATGAACAAACAAAAATTATGAGATTATAACTCATGCTTGCTTTTAAGACGGTCTAATTGCGGTTAGTAATTTATATGCACATCTCATGTGGAAACAAAACCATATACTTATGTAAAAATTAACCATGCTAAACATTAAAAGATAACTTCTGATATATTTAGATTTTTCATAAGCATCTGACGCCGTACCACATAAACGCTTACTACACAAGCTGAGGTGTATGGGCATAGATGAAATGGTGTGTACATGGATAGAGAATTGGCTACATGAACATGTCCAGAGAGTATCGATAAATGGCTCCTTTTCAGATTGGGCTAGGGTCGCAAGTGGCATGCCACAGTGTTCTGTGCTATTAACGACATTGGGGAGGGCGTGAATAGCCATGTTTCTGTGTTTGCTGATGATACTAGATTCGGGAGGGTAATAGACACGGACTTAGGCTGTATAACATTTCAGGAGGAGGATAAAATAGGGGAGTGTGATTTTTATGTACAAGATGTTCAATGGTGATAGCAACATCAGCAATAAGCTTTTTACTGTAAACCAAATAACAAAGACTAGAGGCCACCACCTAAAACTGGTGGAGAAAAGATTTAAGCACAAGGGGCGTAGGGGCTTCTTCTCAGTTAGAACAGTTAGGGTCTGGAACTCGCTGCCACAAGCAGTGGTATCAACTGAGAGTGTTAAATCATTCAAAAAGCATTTGGACAATTTCCTCAGAGACCGTACCATTAAAAACAAGATCACACAGGGACCCAAACACATGCAGAATTACATACATACATACATACACTGTCTTTATTCGACCTTAAATACTATGTAATTATATGTAACTAACCTTTTTTTACCATAGTTCTCTTTAGGGTTACAGGAGGACATATACTAATGTTCTCCTGTGACCCAAAACTAAGCATATAGCGGGCTATTGCTCGTTACATGCTGACAGCACAGAGCCGCTGTGCCTGCCCCCCCCCCTGTCTGTTCCTCCAGTCAGTGCTAGGAAATAGAGGGAGGGGAGGGGGAATCCCTGCAGGGAGCGATAATTGACAGTCACCATTCTCTGCAGGGAGAAGTTCGGAAACTGAGCGATCAGCATTATGTGATCGCTCAATTCTCGATCATTAGAGCTGACGAGTGACAGCTTCAGTGTCACACCTCGGCTCTAATTATGGGGATGAATGTATTTCCCTGTGAACCATAATTCTCCTTTAAGGGCACATTGATACTATATGTTGCTTAACATGCTATCGTGTGTTAAGGCGCACTGTGCTAGGGCAGCCAATTCATTTTGGATGGGCTGGTAGAACTGACTGTTTTTGCTGAAGCAGAACACCACAAGCACAGCATTTTGCAGTTTGAAAGAAAGTTTAATTTGCTAGCATGTTTGGCTGTTACGAGGGAATAAACGTGCCATTAAATGCATTTTGCCACATATAACGCAACACATAAGATTGAGTGGGTCGTAAAAGTAAAAAAGCTATAATCCACACTAGTGGAGGTATCATGGGTCACATGAACAGATATGCTCCTGCTGCTATACACTGCATTAAGATTCCAATGATAAATATCCATGCAATGCAATGCTTTTTTTGCACCAATAGAATGGTGTTTGGATCTTTTTAACTTGCTGCTTTCTTGGCACATCCATAATTTATTTCTTAGTGAGTAATTACGGTGCTTCTCACATTAAAGTTTTTTTCTTTGTAAGTAATGCTAATATGTTTTCACTTTTGTCAAATTAACCCTGGGACTTTTTCCATTTGTGACCTAGCCTTTTACATTTTACTCTGTATTCAAAAAACAATTGAGAATAATTATCTGTAAAAAATAAAGCTGTTCACAACTACACCAATATTATCTTTGAAAGAAAATAAACTAAATAATGTAAGCCACAAACCTGTTACAAGTTCTCTAATTTCCAAATCTGTGGTTTTTCGGAGCAGCCGTACCAATGCTGGAATACCACCACAGTTTTTTAGTGCAATCTTGTTGTCATCATTTGCTTTACCATATACTAAGTTCCTAAGTGCCCCACAGGCACTTCGATGAACATCTGTCATTCGATGATCTAAAAGATCTACTAACAATTGAATCCCACCTTGTCTTCTTATCTGAAATGTACATTATTATAATCAATTATTAATCATGTGGGTTGTAAGATAAATAAATCAGCATTTCGTCTACAATGATATACAATGCATTTACAAAAATATAGTTTACATTGATTGTTTTTTTTTTTTTTTCTTACATTAATGGTGAACTTCAGTTGACAATATTTAGTACTAATCATTTATAACACAAAGCTAAGTGGGTTGCTTTTCAGTTATGACTTCCAGAAGTACTAGTGAATGTAGTGAATATAAAGAGGTTCTCAGGTGAAAAAAAATAGCATGTAATTATTGTAAAGAGGTGCCTTGTGCTTCTGTGTAAATGCCTTTCCTATTTTATTGGTCATCTCTTACCTCATTGTTAGAGGAGTTGCTCTACCTTTTTATAGTCTGTGGCACAATGGGAAATAAGGCAAGCTGTCAAGACCCTCCTGCCTAGCTTTAGATTTTAGCCTTGAGATGTTTGAAATGAGCACTGAGCCTGCGACACAGTTTAGTTGCTTACCATCCAATACAACTGGCAGACACAAGAATTGGTACTAAAACAGCATTCCATATTTCAACCATTTGTGCAGCAGGCTTATATGCTTTTCAATAAGTGTGGATCTAATAAAGTCAGGTGGCCAGGTTTTTGTCAACCACCCAGACTTTACAGCATTATGGGGAATAATGCTCCCCTGCACTCTGATAAGGTAATAACTTTGTTGAGGCAATAGGTGCCCTTTTGTTTTTGCTTATCTGTTTGACTAGAAGATGCACTGTTGCCCCCATGACATTTTTAAAAGTAGGCAAGTTGTCATTAAGAATTACCAAAGCAAGTATTGATTTAGCACTTTTTGATTCTCCTTGTATATTTGTATGCACAATATATCTGTATAAACTACTGAAAACCATACAGTTTTAGAATGTATGCATTCGTATTTTATGATTTGGATGATTCTTCCCTGATTGCACAAATCTGAACATATATTCAGAGAGGTAAAAAATGAGTAATCTGCTAAACCAATTTGATCATCCCTAGTTGTCATGCATAGAGCCTTGTGTCTGTTATTGAAATAGGTATTTATAAAACGTTTAGTAAATAACAGCAATCATTTACTGTATGAAAATATAGTTTACATTGAAAACCCCAGATTTGTACACTACTAAAATTACAAGTTGGTTTATTATATTGTTCTGCTTTTAATTTTTACTACTCTCCTTCAATGTAAATTACTTTTCTTCTTCAGTTAGTGGTGTGTCTAAATGAATGGCTTAGACATTTATCAGGCTTAATTTCTTTCAACACAGAAGCTAAAAGTGATCATACACATGCCAACATCTTACAGAAACCCTCCCTACCGACCACAGTGTCTGTAGTGCCTGATTCTCATGTCCTGATTCTTGTGTCTGAAATGTACAGTATGAAAGATTGATAAATATCATTGTGGTTGGTGGAGGTAAGGGGCCATCCATTAAGATGTCACACATCATTTTGTGCAAAAGTGAACCCTTGTCCTAACAATTCATCATCAAAGCAAGAGATGAGTGAAATCCTCCAATGCCGGTAAATGGTAGTGGTGCGGAAGTCTGTAAGATGAACCAGTGAGAGCTTCGGTGGACCAAGCAGTTTGACACTTCAGGAAGTGTTGGTTTCCCAGCAGTCTTTGAGGGATTAACGGAGCGGTGTTCAGTAGCATGTCCAGCAGGAAAAGCAAGTATTTATACTCTTCTTGTCACAGTTCAGCTGCAGACTTGCAGCTGAGCTGTTACTTATAGTTCTACAAGTGTATACATATCTCTTACCCCTGGTTCTGCAGGCATGCAGGGCTGTGCTGGTGCTTGTAGTCCTCCAGACATGTGCTCTGAACCTGACTCACTCTTGCACCTGTCTGCAAGCTTTAGGCGTCGGCTGACCTCTCCTGCTGTTTCTTATGCAGCTTCTCGGCCAATCAGTGCAGTCTGCTTGTGGCCAATCCTGTGGATCCTCCCTCTTCCTGTCTCTATTTAAACCCAGGGCAACGAACCCCACGCTGCCAGATCAACGATTTCCTAAGCTAGTTGCCGAGTCCCCCATTTGTGATTTACCCTGAATTCCTGGAAGTTTTCCTGTGTACCGAACCTTTGGGTTGTCCTTGGAAATTCCTGTCTACAGGCTGCCCTGTGCTTCCCTTTTCTCCTTGGAAATCCCTGTCTACAGCCTGCCCTGTGCTTCCCTTTTGTCCTTGGAAATCCCTGTCTACTGTCTGCCCCGTGCTTCGCGTTTGTCCTTGGAAATCTCTGACTACAGTCTACCCTTTGCTTCGCTTTTGTCCTTGGAAAATCCCTGTCTACTGGCTGCCCTGTGCTTCGCTTTTGTCCTTGGAAATCCCTGTCTACTGGCTGCCCTGTACTTCACTTTGTCCCTGTAGCCTGTCCCTAACCTTTGATTTGTACTGACTGTCAGTCACGGCTCCCTGCAGGGATTCCCCCCTTCCCTGCTCCGAACCTCCAGCGCTGACTGGAGAAACGGATGGGGGAGGTGGCAGGTACAGCTGGCTCTGCCTCTAGATAGGCTGAGTCAGTTGCCATTCACGCAGCTGGGTGGATCTCGACAGCATTGCTGTAGCTCGTGATGCACTGAGCTTTGGGTCACGGGAGGCACTAGTAGATGTCCTCCCGTGACCCTTAAGAGACCTATAGGGATAACACTTACACTTTAGTTCTTTTTTAAGTTCCTGTGGATTCGTATGAAGGAGCATTAAATCCAGGTAGGATAAATTGCAAAGACCCATCAATGTGTCTAGAAAATCTTCAAGACAAAAGAAAGATAGCAAATCGTTTCCATGGGATTGATGAATAAAGAAGAGTTGAATAAGATTGCATGCTGTATACTCTGGACAGTAATGGACATCCATTTATGAAATACCTGTTATATACAAAATCATCAAATGGACAAGAGAGGATCTTAAGAGACTGGCTTTGATGGAGTGATTCCAAATGTGTTATACTGGGTCACTTGCATGTCTTTTTCCCCAGACTACTACCTCGGGAAGGATGGAAGTGTTCTTTGTCAGGTAGAAGGCTTTAATCCCCCCCAGAACAAATGGCATTGGCTGTATATGAGCTTGCCAGAGCATGAATGTTCTGGTCAAAACACCAAAGCATTACTGGAGTTGTCGTACTCCACAGAAGTCCAAAGGTGGACATGGCATAGACTATGAAGTGCAAAGAAGTTTGGCAAGAGAAGCAGACAATTTTGCAGCTGTGTTAGAAAGGCTGCTTGATGTTATCTTATATTTTGCCCCACAGAATCTGGCTTTCAGAGGATCATTCCAAAAATTGGAAACAATAATAATGGTAACCTCTATAGAACTCCCTAAGTCTCCATTCACACCTAGGCACCAGTTTTTCCATGTGTAAAACATGCTTTTTTACGCACGTCTTTCCCTCACATGGTTTGCGCGTGTTTTGCAAATTTTTACGCGTGTTAGACGCACAGACAAAGATGCTCGTTTTATTGAGCAGATCAAAATGCATTGCTGTGAATGAGGAAACGTGCGCACAAAAGAGCACAAAACGCGCAAAGAAATGTGCAAAACTCTTGTGTCACGCATTTTAATGCGCTTCCATGGAAGTCTATGCGGCCAAACATGCTGTAATCTACCCGAAAGAAGCTCAAGTACCTTTTCCAGCTTGTGGCGTTTTACAACTTGCGACAAAAGTCTCGTGGGTGAACAGGGGCCATATAAATGAATGGGATTTAAAGTGTTGAGAGTTTTGTCACACTTAGATTTGGGCGTCAAAAGGTGTGAACAGGGACTTACTTGTTTCCAGATATGATAATGAACTCAGAGAGCAACTTAAGACAGGAAGTGGCTACCTGCACATTATTTATCATTGTGCACACAAAACGAAATTATCAATATATGTGGAAGACATGTTTTGAATGCTGTACATTCTGAAAGGCAATAATCAAGTTATTTATCTCTGTGATTTGAACAGAAGTAATTATTCTGTGATATGTACACAGCAATATTTTTTAATGGAAATGGTGCATTCAATAGAGGCTCCTGGAATTATTTGATTTCTTTGAAAAGACTGGTGAAGAAATTACCCAAGTGATGCTATCATGTCTGTATGAACACAGCATTGATGTCAAAGACTGTAGAGATCAAGGATATGATAATGAAGCCAACATGTCAAAAGGAATTAAAGGTGTAAGATCCATAATTCAACAGAAGTATCCATCAGCTTTGTTTTGTTTGTGTGCAGTTCACTCTTTGAATCTTGTTGATGTGCATGCAGCTTCAAGCTCCCCTTAAATGAAGACCTTCTTTGGCAGTGTAAATATACTTTATATTCTATTCAACAGCAGTCCGGACATGTATCACTTGTCCCTCCCTTTTAGATTGCAAGCCCTCAGGGGCAGGACCCTCCTTACCATCCTGTCTTGAATTGTATTGTGATTTTAATGTCTTCCTTATATTGTAAAGCTCTGTGCAAACTGTTGGCACTATATAAATCCTGTATAATAATAATAATAATAATAATAATAATAGATTAATAAGCCTTTTTTTTAATTTTCTATGGTGTGCTACCTACAGAGATGTGGTGCAACGGTGGGAGGTCGAATATTCCTGTCTTTTACTATATATGGGTTGGAGAGAGGAGTCCTGCAACTGTGTAAACAACCCTCCCTAATTTTAACAAGACACGATAACAGTAGAGGGGTTACTGTACTGCAGACATGGAGAAACAGTTGTTTCTGAGTTAGAGGATGCTCGGGTGAAAGGCTAGCCTACAGGCAGTCAGGCTGGCCTATGGCAGACAGGCTAACAATCCTTTACAACCATTGCCCCAAATGTGAGAAAGTCCTGTTCCCAAATTAATGTAACCCTATACTGCAACAGGTAAGGATGGGCAACTCCTAACTAAAAGTGTATTTCCACTTTCACAGCCAAATTGGGATAACACATAGCATAAGCTTTAAAAAAAAAAAATACTTCTTGCAGTTTAAATGGCTTTTTCTTGGGTTTGTGTTTCTTGGCTCCTTAAGGGTTACAATTTCTACTTGCTTCTCCTTGTTTTGTAATGTTAGGAGAGGTGAGGGGTTAAAGGATTGAAATCCTGGCTTCTGCATTCAAATGTTACGGAAGTTAATGAGAAGACACAATCCTCAGACTTCAGTCCTAAATCTGGTTACACATGCAGCGAATTTTGGCCAATTCAGCAGGAATCAGCCGAAATTCCCTGCATTGGTGACCCTATTCCTTCAGGAGAAGGCGATCATTAGATTGACTTTTGCCGAAGGAATATGTTGAAAAATCTTCCGTTGAACAGAGCTTGCAGCCAGTCAGCTCCAAGCTCCTTTGATGTTTCTGACAACGTATGCCGGCCACTGTCAGAACACAATAGCAGCAGCAGCGGATTTCTGCATCCATGCTGTTCATCGTGGATGGAGGAATCTGTTCTATTTATCATCCCGCAAGTTGAACGAAAAAAAAACAGACCTGTATATACCCTAGTTAAGTCTTTAGATCACTGTGAAGATGTTCAGAAGGTGTTCAGAAAAACCTGGATTCAGCCATGTTGCCTGCTACAACAAAAAATCTGTAAAAGTAAGAAATATTTTCTCAAAAATGATTTTTTGGTATTTTGTGTGATTAGGAACACATAGACATAAAGAGGTGTTTTCTAAAATGTGACTCTAAAAGTGGAAATACAATTTATGCTGCATACAGGCATACAATTTATGCTGCATGCATACAGGTTTGATTTTACATTTATTTATTTACCCTCTGGTTTTGCATTCTGCTTCTACTAACATGTGTAGATTTAGGTTTGAGCACGTACAATATATCAAGTGACTGTAATAATAAATTATGTTACTTACCTCTGCTTTAATTTTATTATCTCCAAAACACAGGTGCTGCAGATAGGCAGCTGCATTTGATTGAACAGAAGGGAACTGATGCTGCAACATCTGTATTACCTCTGGAAGTTCTGGATCTCGCCAGCCAAACTCCCTAAAAAGAATATAAATTCCATTATGTTGCAACATCCATTATGTATGTTATGTTTGCAAAAAGAACACACTATGAGATGACATTTTGAAAAACACCAAATAAATGTAATATTTTTTATGAGTGTTTTATAAATGACTAGTTTTGTGGTTTGTCCTTAGAATTGAGTTTGACATGCCTGTACTAGACTGTGGGATTATTGTGTCCTTGTAAATGGTTGAATAAATGAATGCTAATCAGTCAAAAGATGGAATTTTGATTAGATTATTTTAAAAAACAAAATAGCTTCTTGATGATTTTCTTGTTTTGTTGTTGTCCTTTTTGTACTAACACATAACTTACGCTTTTCTCAAAAACAGTATTAAGTAGATTCTCTACTTTTTCAGGCCCTTAGAAAGGGTAGAGATTTTTTAACTGAAAATCAGAATGTGATCTCACTAAGTCAATAATTACAATTGTTAGACATGCAACATTTTTTAGGAGGGAATGTATTTTTACAAAGTCACTGCCCTCAAATCAAACGCATAAAAAGACTCCCATGTGACCACAACCTCAAACTTTGTAACTATTTGTTTCTTGCACTTATGATAGCAAATTGTATTATCTTCCTTGATAAGAAATGTGTAGAAATTACTGGTACTATTTTGTTTCATAAACCTGTAAAACCTGAAACATATTTTATTTGGCATGTCTGTAATTACAATAACCTTCATTTGCTGTAATATGGTTAATCAGCATCTATGGCAATTTGTTGTACAGCTATGCATTTATTGTTTATCAAACAGTGGATTTTGTTGTATACTAGTGAGCAAAAACTCTGCAATTCCCATTTATCCTTAACACTCTATAACTTCCTTTTCACTTTAGATAATCCATGATGAAATGAACAAAGCTGTTCAAGAGAAAGGCTTAAGGAGTTCCAAGACAGTGCAATCTGCTAAAGCTGCCCATTACCTTCAGGCCCCAGTCACACTAAGCGACATACTTTTTGGAGCGGATCCGCGCAGCCGGGATAGCGCGACTTTCGGGGCGAAGTTCCAGCGGCGATCCAGCGACGGTAGCGCGACTTTTACCGTCGGGCTGCATTAAAAAATCAAAAAAACGTGCAAAGTCTGCTGAAAAAAGGGTCCTGTAGACCGCGACGGGTGACAAGGAGCTATACATGAAGACAGCTCCATTGAAAATCATTGGCCGGCTACTTCTCGCGAGTCTCTTACCTTCCTGCCACCTTCCATGGCGGCATGTCTCTCTGCAAACCCACCACCTTCAGAGGAGACCTTCAGGAGGTTGCAAAGAAAGTTTAACATGTTTGGTATAGTACTACTGTAGTTCTTTTCAGTTGTAGCGGAAAGGGTAGTGGAAAGGGTGCTATTAAATCTAGTGTTTATCAGATTGTATGTTGTCTGATACTAATTTGTAGTTTTGGTTCATGTGGTTTTCCCCCTAAACAATCCATCATTGCTTGCCATCTGTCTGCTGCCAGAGGTACTGCAGGGTGTGCTCTAGTGATAGAATAGAGCAACCAAAAGGATTGCTATGAGTGCATATCCCTCTCCAGCCAATCACTGTTGAACGATACATTAATATAACTGCACAGCGCTCAAAAAACTTCCTGTGAGGTGCGCACATAAAGTGCATATAAAAGTGCCTAAATATATAAAATTACATATAAAAAATATATACAACATATAAATGTGCAAAACCAGTGAAAAATATGGGACTGATAAAGATTAATCACACCATAAAAATTAATAAAAAACATATAATCAGTCCAAAATCTGGATCTGCACTGGATTGGTGTTTGGAAGGAGTCTTTCTTTCTTTCACTCAAAAGTTTTTCAATTTTCACTATAAAGAATTGGACTGTTTTTTGAACTGATTACCGTATTTTGCGGTCCATAAGACGCACCGGACCATGGGACGCAGGGAGGTCCGGCACGCCTTATGGAGCACTCAACAGACTGTAGCTTCTGGCACAGCTTCTATGACAGAAGCTGTGACAGAAGCTGCAGTTAGTGACCGCTGAGACAGGTGGCGCTGTGATTACAGCACCACGGTCTCAGTGATCACACAGAGCAGACGAAGAAAGTCCGTTCTTCGTCTGCTCTATGGTGATCTCGATCATCGCCGCTGCTCGGTTTCAATACAAGTGATCTCATTAGATCACTCGTATTAAACGAGCAGTGGCTCCTATTGCTGAATACGATCGCCGCCGCCGCCACTGCTCGGCTTTAATACGAGTGATCTCATTAGATCACTCGTATTAAACGAGCAGTGGCTCCTACTACTCGCCCGGCGCCCGAAACTGCATGTCTCGGGCGTCGGGATTCGCTCCATAAGACGCAGGCACATTTTCCCCCTCCTCTTGGGGGGAAAAAAGTGCGTCTTATGGAGCGAAAAATACGGTATATGTTTTCTATTAATTTTGATGGTGTGATTAATCTTTATCAGTCCCATATTTTTCACTCGTTTTGCACATTAATATGTTGTATAAATGTATCCCTAAACTAGAAGAATTTGAGCTGTCGTAACCCATAGCAACCGACCCTAGTACTCAAGGTGTGCAAGGTGTGCTGTGGTGCTGTGGAATAAAGTATTCAGTTTATTGTAGATCACTCCTTCAGAGCCACCGGTAGTGTTATCCTGTATTGGGATAGCGCTGACCGGGAAAGGGGACCGCTACACAGTAAAGAAAGACTTATTTGTGGCTTAGCAGCCTCATTATTCATACTAAGAAGCTTTCTTCCTCCTATGTTAAAGAACTGAACTCCGTGTTGTATGAAGTATTATGCTTACTCACATTGGTCCCACTTGGCCAGCACTATAATAGCCCCAGCTACTGCTCTTCAATGTCCTTTAATATTCCACTTAAAGTGGACCTTTACCCATATCTTTAAAATAACAACAACAAACACACCTTTAGAAATGTTTAGTTATGGCAATCTACAAACACATACTTCTAGATAATTACAAGCTTTGTATTCTTTGCATACCTTATTTCTCTTTTCTTTCCCAGTCTTCTGACAGTGGCCATGTTAACTAAGGGCAGAGTACAAGCTCTCCATTTACTTCCTTGAACTCTGGCACATGTGACTAGACATGTGACAAGGACATGTGACCATGCAGGTCATCTCAGGGGAGGAAAATTCCTTTCCCTGACATCTCATGAGATTACAGATGAGATTGCCCAGCAATGTTCTGCTGATGTAACCTTCCCAAGATGCAACGCTTTGGCATTTACATAATTTCTGCCAGAAGTGGACCAGGAAGTAGATGAACTCTATGTGTAAGTAAGTTGATTTTAAATCAGCATCCAGAGCTGCATACTGATGTTAAATTTAATAAAAGGGGGTAAAGGTCTGCTTTAATAAATGCCTCTAGAAATGGTTTGTGCCTACAGCAGAGTCATTTAGACCATAGACAAGCAGGTATACTGCAAAAACAATGGTAAACTAGGCTCACCACAGTAGCTTTTCTATAACAGAAAATATGTATACTGCTCACATTAAATGGCGTATCACAAGCTCCACTGCAAAATCCACAAGTGCTGGTCTGGCTCATTGCAAGTCACTCAGAAAATAAAATAAAACACTGCACTCTGGGTTGCAATTACTTTTTTTGTTTAGTAAATCACTTGCTGCTCTTTAATCAAGAAAGATTACTGTAGCCTGGAAAGCTTTTATTTATTTTTCTTTCTGACTTTCATACTGTCTCAATTTCATATTAATACAAAAATCTTGAAAATTTTAGATCCACAAGGTACACTTAGAGCTGTTTTATATGTTACATAATATTTAAGTAGGGCTGCGGAAATTACATTTAATTCTTTTGATCGGTACTCAACTCTCCGCCGGCTTCTGCGTCTCCTGTCGGAGATCCGGTGACGCTGGTGTCCGTGACGTCACCGGACTCCTCCCCCTTCCCTTCGTTAGCAATGGTACTTTACCGTTGTATCTGTAAGAATGTACGGGCGGCGCACGCGCCAGTGGGCGGGATCTGCCTCTGCACATAGGGCCTGACGGCGTCCTCATTGCCATGACAACGAACGGCAACGAAAGGCAGCTGGATCATGTAATGGTTTCCTATTGTGACGGGCTCTGTTCTCCTATTGTCCTCTCCCATTATGTAAGCAACTTGTTCTTTTATCTCTGTGGCGGTATTGTGTCTATATCTAGCATCTAACCGAAGGTACACATCTCATACTTATACTGATCTTGCTGAATGTGCCGGTCATTATTTATACTTCTATTTTTAAAGTGTTTTGCTGGGAATATTACGTCACTATGATGTCAGAGGGTGTGCTGATTGGTGGTTTATGCATCTGTATGTCTATTTATAGTAACAGTATGGATTGACCATAATATATAAAGTATGCACTTATATACACTATGCGTACAAGCTATAGAAAAGGCTATTTGTAAATTGATCATTTGGATATGAGCAATACCCCACATAAGAGTTTGTTTGATTTTTTTTTCAGATTGTATAAGAGGTTTGCCCAAGAAACTTGTTCTGCACAAGCGCCAGCCCAGGCATTGGCCTATACACATACAGCACAGCAATGAAGTAATAAAATGAACTAGGATCACACTAATCCAGCACGTTATTATTCTGAGTTGCCCCACTCAAGCGGCGGCCATATTGAGTGGGGCACGTGAGATTAATAACGTGCTGGATTAGTGTGATCCTAGTTCATTTTATTACTTCATGGCTGTGCTGTATGTGTATAGGCCAATGTAGTTGGATCTGTATGTGCGTTATAATTAATCGAAATTAATCGATTAATTGATTTTAAAAAAATTCGATTAATCGAACACGAAAATTTTAATCAGTAACAGCCCTATATTTAAGGTTGAATAAAGACACAAGTCCATCGAGTTCAACCTTTGTGAGTGTGTGTGTGTGTGTGTGTCTGTCTGTCAATGTGTGTTCCAGTCATTAAGAGCACCTGTACCCCTGTATGTTCTGGTCTCTGAGGAAGGTATCTAAATTATTTTTGAATG